GTGACGAATTGTAATGTACTGGTTGCGCCCGTTCACGTTTCAAGATTTGGATGGTGATGTTGGTTGCGCTGTGGTCGGGGCAGGATGTATTCCCTTCAGCACCAGCAGGCAGCACGAGGCGGTGGTAGGATGGAGGGTGCAGCCTGCAGGGTTCACGGGCGTGTGACAAGGGGCGCTAAACCGTCAAAAAAAAAAGGTGACAATGACAAGGGCAGCAGCTCGGCAGCCTGACAGGGTTGCACCAGCCAGCGCCAAATCAGGGACCTCGTTCTTGTGACCCCTCAGCCGCCCTCCACCAAAAAGCCCCTCCATCCATCCTCGCTCTAGGCGTCTCCCTCCAGAAGCGTGCAAGGCAGCGCGAAAAGACCGGTGTGGTGTCACCTTTTTAGCGCCTCTCAACGCTCGTGGCTTGCACCCTTACACCCTACAGCTGAGGCTAGGGCTCAGTTCATTCCCCCTAGCCACGCGCTATTGGGCGGTACCTCCCGCCGCTGCCCTTGCCCAAGGGAGTAGGGGACCCCAGGGAGAGCAGAGAGCAGTCAGAGTGCCAGATAATAGCGGTGACTGTTTCTGCTGTACTATAAGCCATTAGGTAATCGGCCTGGCCGCCGATCTTCATCGCCTGTCCTGTGCCGTCCAATCTCACAATGCCCGTTCGTGTGTTAAGATAAAATTAGACATCTCCAGGGTTGCATTTCCATCAACATCAAACCACGAACTTAGCCTATCCGAGCTCCGTCTGAGCTCTGTCTGAGCTTCCCAACGTCGCCGTCTTAAGTTCTTACATCAGCCGCCTTGATCCGCCCCCCATCCGTGCCGTCATCTGTGCCGCTCTGTTGGTCGGTCTGGTCAGGTCTGCGTGGGTGCATGCATTTAGCCCCCAAGCCCGACTCTAAGGCTTTTCTATCCTCCCACGCCTGCTCACTCCCCTCATCCATCCCTGCTTATTATCAGCTCCCATAAGCGTCAGCCACGGGCGCTGAGATCCCTTGCTATTCGATGCTCAGATGCGCCCTTGCCCGATCGGGAAACTTTCCACGCAGATACAATTGCTGCTGCAGGGGGCCGGCCCTCGATCGAAGTACACTGCATACATATGACAGGCTGACGGTGAGCGGCATTTGTGTAGGTAGATCGCCAAATCGAACGGAATCATGGACTTCAACACATGGCGAGGTGAGCTCACATTCATGAAGAAAAGATCGCAAGTATATCGAATTTTGGTTCATTTCTATCAGTCTATGGTATCTATGCGTGAGTAAGAGAGTAAGAGTAAGTATGCCGGAAAAGAGAATTATATACATGAAAAATCGGCTTTTGGGATGAAATATACAACATGAGAATGCATCCTACACACCAACCATCCTTGGGACGCGCTCGCACTCGATGCTTTTCAGCTTCAGTGCTTCTTACATTACTTAGCCCCATAAGACAGATACTCCTTCGGCACCTTAGGGAACAGCTCCGGCGCGTCCTGGATGACGAGCGCCATGCCGCCCTCGAGATGCGTCGAGATATGACAATGCAAAAACCACGCGCCGGGGTTCGTCACATGGTACCTCACAGCAACCCACGTCGGGCCCCTCGGCGCATCCGGCGTCGTGAACCCGTCTCTCCTCGGGGGGTCGACAAGGTTGAAGTTCTGCGGAATCACCCGCATGGCCTCCTCGACGCTCGAGTAGTTGAAACTGCCTTCTCCAGATCCGATCATCCACATCTTGTTGCCGTGCTTGTGGATCGGGTGCGCCGGCTGCGGGAACTGCTCGACTTTGAAGATTAAGTCGACCCATGTGTTGTTCTGCGTCGTGATGGTCAGGTTGTTCGTCAAGCCTGGCTGGGGCGCGAAAAGCACCGGCTCAGAGGCGTCCAGCGTCATCGGTGACGCGCTGCCGTTCATCGCCCACACGTACCCCCTGCCTGCCGTGTTGCCGAGCGTCAGCACGTACGTCGCGTCCGCCTTCTGCGCCACCGGAGACGCCGGGTACGGCTTCTGGGCCGTCTGGTTGTAGAATACGACGGACGGGCTCACAGGTGTGCCGGCATCATCGATGTACCGCAGGGCGCTGTGGTCGACCTCCTGCTTCGGCTTCCCGTGGCTGAAGCTGCGGTTCGTCTTGTACGTGAGAGTCGCCTGCCCGGTAATCAACTGGATAGGCAGGTTGCCCGCGTGGCGGATCGTGTAGGTCCCGGCCTCGGAGATCTTGACGAGGACGGCAAAGCGGTCGCCGTTGTAGACTCCGATGGCGTTGACTTTCTGCGGCTCGATGTACTCGCCGTCGACGGCGTAGATCCACATCGGCAGCCCGTCGATCGAGAACACCGACTTCATCGTCGTGTAGGCGCCGACGATCTCAAAGGCCGCCCAGGTCCCGTCCTTGTCGCATGCCGCTTGGCGCACTTCGAAGGTTGCTTCGGAGCCCTCGGTGGGTGTGCACACGTTGAAGAGCTCGTCCGGGATGTTGGAGACGTTGGTGGGGAATCCTCCGGCGACTGCTATGGCGGCGATCTGCTTAGGAAGACATCTAGGCTCGAGTATTAGTGTCTGAATTCTTTTCCACAAGATTGGAATAGGTGGGCAGGGCAATAAATCACTTACCCCTTAGGCGTCAGCTCCGTGAGGTTTCCAATCGACAACAACTTCTTCTGCGCCGGCTTGATGAGCTTAGCCAGCTTCTCCGCCGGCCAGCAGTCGACCTTGCCCTTTCCGTTGATCAGCAGCGAGTCGAAGCACGGCAGCTCCGTGCTCGCCGCCAGCTCGATGTCGAACGCCTCCCGCGAGTTGATGTTGCGCCAGTCGCTCAGCATCAGCGGCTGGATATTAGCTGCGGCTTTTTCTATCAAGCGGATAGTCTCCTTGTCCTGCGAGATAAGGCTGAAAGGCTTGGCCCTGTCCTTGCGCGGGTGGATCACGAGAGGGCCGAACTGCCCGTCGTCGAGCTGCCCCTTGTGGTGCGCGTGGTACCAGTACTCGCCGTATTGCGTCGCCGTCCACTTGTACACGAAGGAGCCTCCTGGAGGAATCTCCCGCTGTGTCACGCCGGGGACACCGTCTGACCAGGGGGTGCCGGCCATCTCGATACCTGGTAAAGCGTGTTAGCAAATCAGATCTGTTGAGTTCTAGTTGGAACTTGGCTCTTGGAAGCAGACATACCATGATAATGCATCGTTGTGTTAAACGGCATCTGGTTATGCACAGCCACCCACACATCGTCGCCCTCATTCACTTCGATCATCGGCCCTGGACTCTGGCCGTTGACCAGAATCATGTCGCGGCTCACGCCATTCGGCGCCCTGTTCTCCCACGTCACGGTCAGGTCGAACTTGCGCGGGCCGTGGCCGCGGTGCTGGGACCGCCAGTGCGGTTGGGGGAAGTGTGGTTGCGGGAAAGCTGTTGTGAAGGATGGGAGGCCGATGGCTAAGGCCATGGCTAGGCAGGAGGTGAGTTTTGATAACATTGTGGCTTGGCTTGGCTCGACTGGATTGGGATATCAATCAATCAAAGCTGCCGGACTAGTGTGTGTGTGTGTGGGAGTGAGGGAGTTTGAGCTGGTTTCTGGAGATAATAGGAATGCTGATAGATGCGCCTTGTATCGCATTCTTAAGTAGTGAGCAAGTTTCTATCAAACACGCATGGTGATCATCGAACTAATACATGAACCGCAATATCGAAAGCCGGCTCGGCTCCCGGTCTACATTTCCTTACCTAGTGTTCGCCGCCATCGATCTGGAAAAAGAGCAAGTCCGGCCGGGTCTGCCTTCGGCGTACATATTGTTGCTGGCTGCGGCTGACTACCTAGGACCTACAACCTATAACCTCGCGTAGCCTTGCATGCTGTTGCCCACCGTTCGTTCTCGAAATAGATTCAAGGCCCTGATTCGGCCCGGGGTAGCCCTGTCGTCAAGATGGGCGTTCAGGGCACGGTTGTTGCTCAGTGCAGGCCGGGTCTCGAGAGCGTCTGCCAAGCCACTATTCCCAGCCCCGAGATTCGAAACCCGACGACACGGCGGCGGCAGCAGGGCCCACCCACTTACATCGGCGTGTGATTCTCTACTTAGATCTACCAATGGCATTGCTATTGTTGACAGATGATTTGAAGAATTCTTCTTCTATTGCGATTGTAAACTTACTGTATTACCAAAATAATCAATTTGGTTGTTGACATGGCTTGATTGATGTTTGATTGATTGCTTTCTGGATGGCCTGGATTTGGGACGTAGCCTCGACGCTTGTTAGCGCGATGTGAGATTGTAGTCTGTTTTTGAAACCCGACGGGTAACGCCGCTTTGGTCTGTCTATCTGGGGTATGGTTATGATGCCTTACCTAATTCACATGCGCAGTCGGATTTCGACCATGTCCTGAACTCCACGTGGTTGATAGGTTGGGATGTTCTAAAAATAATGCAGAATCGATGCAGAGATATCCCAGCAATATTAGGGTCTTGAGGCTAAGGTGATGAGTAAGAATATCATGGGTTAGTCATCATGTGTTCAGACTATCAGCTTGTTGACATGTATGGTAAGACGGAGCGTAGTGAAGCGCTGATTCTAGGTCTTAGGAGTACAAGTACCTCGTGTTGGAATGCAGAAATATTTTGAGATGCTCATGTTGATACGTCGTGTTGCTGCAATGTTAGCAAGATCACACTGATCTTCGTGTTGTCGCGGTCCTCAGAGGGTATGACCACTGACAAGCATAATGATCGATGATATTCGCACATAAGTACCTGGGTACATGCAATCATATGCGACCAACAAAGGAATGCTTCTCGAAAGCGAAATGGTCAAGGATTAAGCTGTGCAGGCAGGTCTATAGATATGCACCACCTCACAACTATAGAAACCAGTATTTGAAAGCTCCGAACAGCATACCACAAGAAAATCTACCTTAAGGCAAGGCCCAGAACATCATGTCTTGACATTAATGCTACACCAGGTGTTAGTGATATACCAGTTCAGTGCATCTTTGCACATCGGCAACCTTACATACGACCCCAAGAAGGCTAAAGTGGTGTAGTGGGAGCATGTCCCGTGGCGATCTTTCAGATCGTTAGGTACCCTTACTTAAGGGGGCGGGAGACCCGGGTTCGATTCCCGGCTTTAGATACTGATGAGGTTTCTTTTTTATATTTTTTTGTGGTGACTGCTCTGTTGAGAGTGAATGCAGCCTTATTCACTTTCTGGAATCTGGGCACACATCCCTCTCTCTCTCTCTCTCTTTCTTCTGTTTAATTCATTGGGGTAATGCCCTATATGTGACCCTGCATGAATCCCAACTTAGCATTATTGTTATACTTGTCCAAAATCTCAAGAATTACAATTGACAAAGCATGGCAGCTGTAGTCTGGGCACTAGTTGCGGCATGGAGGGTTGGATAAGAACCACCATGGTGCCGCAATGCACGCTAGACTAACAAAAACATTCTTATCGAATCACATATCGTAATCAGACGACCAGTATCTTCAAGGTTTAGTGAATGCTTCGATTAGAAACTATATACAATAGCCATTAAAGCAGATCTATATCCCCTAACTCCGCATTACCCTGGTTTCATGAAGCTCTATCTATGTCCTGGTCCAATACCCAAACCATTCTATGCCGCCTTGTTATGTATTAAATGCAGAAACCGTACCCTACTTATGTGCAATGAAGGAAGTGTATGTAGTAAGTAGCTGCTCGCAGCTGCTTATACAAACTCGAACTCGAACCCAGCATAGCTGGCCCGAGGATCACGCCCCGCAAAGTTTGCGGCTGCCCGAGCGTTGAACTCGTTGTAACTCGCCCGATCCGTCGTGAAATACGGCCTACCCCAATGCTCCCTCCACGGTTGGAAAGTCGACTGAGGCCGTATGGGCGGCAGTGGCGCAAAGCGTCGCGAGTCGGATAGTGGCGCCGAGCAGTTTGCGCAATTCGCGCACAGTGGGATTGGCATTGGTTTATCCCGCGATTCCTGCGATTCTCGTGATATCCGTGAGAGCTGCGACATTTGCGACACATTCGATATCTTCGAGCGGTGAGATCTGGGCGATCTGCACGATACCTGTGATATCCGCTCGGAATTGGCGTCAGATGGTGCCGATGACGTCAAGGGCGACTTGGTTTCCGCCATGTACGGCTTTGGTTCCAACAGGTTCTCCGTCGAAGTGTTCTTTGGGGGAGGTCCAGGTGGTGGGCCTTGGTTGGCGACCTTGTCCGTCACTTTCCTCCACTCGACACCAAGTGCGCCAATGGCGCTGACTGCGGTCAATGCCAAGAGTAAGTACCAAACGTGCTTCAAAGCATCGTTGTAACAGCCTGCTACGGTGGGGATGAGGCTTTTGTCCAGCTGTTCTCGCAGCTCTGCAGCGCCAATGCTGGCCAGAGCACTCGCGTCCACTGATGGGATGCGTTCCATGACGAGCTCCTTGAACCTGCTGTTGAACAAAGTCTGGCCGATAGACACGGAGATTGTACCACCGAGAAGCTTGCACACGTTGGCCAGCGCGGTTCCAGTGGGAATGTCAGCTGCGGGGAGCATGGTCTGTGCGATGAGGGTAGGCTGTTGCCAGCCTAGACCTTGACCGACACCATATAGAGCCAAGTAGCCGAAGACTTGAGCATCGGTCGCGTGGGGGGTCCATGTGGTCAGGAGTCCCGTCGCGACACCAACGACGACAACACATGCGATCATGAACGGCGCCGAGTAGCCGCCCCTGGTGAGATAGAAGCCGAGAGCCAGCAACACAACCGTCTGGCCTGCGACGAAAGTGACGATGTCGAGACCACTTGTCAGAGGACTGTCACCCCTGACGGCTTGGAACCATTCAGGGGCATAGTAAAGAACTGCGAAGTTGACACCACCTTGGGCGAACGAGTACCAGGATGCGAAGGCCATGCTTCGCTGGCCGATGACGGACTTGGGGATGGTGGCGACTGGCCCGAGATACCATTGCCAGCCTGCCCAGGCAATCAGGATAACACCGAAAAGCACCAACAATGCGATGACCCGAGCATTTGACCACGGGTATGTGGTTCCGCCTAGCTGAAGAGCCAAGAGTAACGAGGTGATAGATCCGATCAAAAGGATTGTCCCAATGGGATCCATGCGCTTGAGCTTCTCTTGCTGTGGGAGGTCTGCCAACCGGGCTGCGGCCTTGGGTGATTTGAAGAAAGGGATCAGACCGCCGATCGCCAGCGCACCGAGGGGTAGGTTGATGTAGAAACTCCATCGCCATGTAACATTGGTAGTGAAGGCACCGCCGATGAGGGGTCTAGTATACATCAATTATTAGCAGGTGATATATAAAAGGAGATCAGACATGGAAGGCAATGCTTACCCAAGAACACTAGCGACTCCGTACACAGTCCCGAGATAACTGGCATACATGGGACGCTTGACCAGGGGAACGCTGAAGGCAACACTCAAGAAGCTGCCAGAGAAGATACCTCCGGCACCAACCCCAGCGATGGCTCGTCCGATGATGAAGGCAGCCGAACTAGGAGCAGCACCACACACTGCACTGCCTATCTCGAAGATGACGATGGCCGCGATATACATGGTCTTGAGGTCGTAGAAGGTGAATAGGCGACCCCAGAAGATCTGGAAGGCGCACATGCCGAGGAAGTATGCTGAGCCGTACCAACCGACATCTTTGCTTGTGTGGAACTCTTTCGATATGGCAGGTATGGCTGTGGAGACGATGGTTGTGTCCTGTGTGGCAAGGGCGTGTTAGTGATGCTATAGCAGAGGTAGGGGTTGGGTCTGTGTGACGTACAAGAGCTTGGAGAAGAAGAACAATGCATGAGAAGAAAAGAATTAAGTATAATCGAGTACCCGTGGGCAAGGGCGGTTGACCAGGAGCTCCAGGGGGTCCTGGGGGCCCAGGAGGGCCAGGAGGGCTAGGAGGGCTAGGAGGCGCCGCCATGGTGTTTGGTTGGGATGAAACGGAAGGCCTTTGGGTTGTATCAGGCTTCTGAAACTTCTCTTGCATGAACTTCTGCATAATCGAGGAGAATGAACAAGATAATTATGCTCTCTATGCGAGGATGAAAGAGATCGTTGACGAACACTGTATTAATTAACTCGGTATGAAGGTTCGAGAAGTGCTATAAGGGGATCTCCTTTATTTACATGTCCGAGCACGTCCTGAATTCTATTTCCATACACTCGGGACTCTTCAGCTTTCAACCCATATGACGACAACACAGAGATATCGGTCCTCGCTTTTCCGTATACCGCTCGTCGAACGCGGACTCTTACATCAACCCGCGTTGAGGCTGGAAGTGGTCACTTGCGCAGGCAGAGGTCGTCGTCACTCAGCCCCACTGTAACGAAACCCGAAGCCCGAGGGCCGCTTCTCATTGGACCGCAACCACCTCCTGAGCGACGTTTCTTGCTCTTCCCAACAATTGCAACATCGACTTAAAAGTTATCGGGTTCCCCATTCTTCTGATGACTGTTTTTGCTCTGTTTGGACTTTTGGCCAATGTTGTGCTGCGAATTGACACCCGTTGCTTGATTGATCCGATATTTGTCAGATTCTGCCCTCCATCGTCAATTGACCGAAGCCCGACCTGGTAACTTCACACACAAATGAGATGATGTGATCGTCATCAACATAAGAGAAGGATGTATCTGGGATAAGAGGAGGCATGATGGGAATGCATGGCATGGGTATCATCCTGACGATGTTCGACCGGGCGGAACTTGGGAGACAATTGGACGCCGAACGAAACGACCTCGTACATCATCCGACAGATGCTTAGACAGATGCTTAAACATCACCGATGCTGCCGCCGTCAGCTTCAACCATGCTGTCTTGCCCTACCCGCCTTTGGGTGTCTGCATCAAAGGGCCTTCAACTGCACCCACGCCGACGATGACGCCGTCTTATCGCCCAAGAGACGCCAATCCAAACGGAAAGACGACGAGTGCGCTGATGGATATCGACGACTTGCACTGAATGGGACTGGAACACGGAGGATCGCATCCATCGCAAACTCGATGATCTGATCACGCATATACACTGATGCTGAATGCGGGTTGCGCACACATGCGGTTCAAGTTGTCATCAGACTAGCATCCGATCTTCGTTCCGCCTGGTATACTACCAAGTCATGGACAGCAGGTTGGTGGCAGAGGTGAGAGCTAACAGCAATCTCATAGCTTCGGTCACCCTATTTGATTCTTTCAAAGGGGCGACAGTAGCTGTCTTCGACATCGCCATCATCTTGCATGCTGGTAGGCGTGCGTACCATACGCTTCATGCAGCCCGTCCGCGTGCAACTCATGGACTGGGTTCGAGTATATCTCGACAGGGTTGGGCTTTGATGCCGACGTCATGGGTTGATGGGTTGACACGGGAGCACGATTCTTTTGCCGCAACTTGTTGAAGAAGAACCAAAAGAGAAAGATGGCGACTGCGGCTACGCCAACGATAGCACCAACGACAATGCCTGCTATCGCACCGCCGCCGATGCTGCTCCCACCGACAACCTTCGTTACCGTTGCTTGAGGCGCACTGGTGGTAGTCGTTGCGGATGTTGCCGGTGTCTTGGATTCAGTACTCAAAGCCAACGAGGTTGACGATGTAGTCGAGGAGCTACTCGTCGTACTGGACGTCGCTTTAGCACTAATGTTGAAGTAGTGCGTGTTGAAACCGCTTTGGTTGTCTTGTTCCATCGACAGGTAACAGACGTTGTGATAACTTGGATCAAGGCCCGACCAAGAAACGGTCCAAGTGTACACGGACCCGCTGATATTGGCTATGAGAAAGACTCAGCATCACGGTTCGAAGTCGTCAACAGGAACGAACTTACTAGCAATCAAGACATCAGGACCTCCTTGCGCCGATGTCGGAAAATTATCTTGCCACAGATATAAGGTCCCGTTGGTTATCGAGGACTCCCATGGTATCCTGACTGTCTCTCCAACGCTATAGGCTATGTTGCTTGAGTAGTCTTTGTTCGAACCAGGTGCCCATTCGGATACGAAGGAGTTCGATGTCATTGAGACTGACATTGCGGCTTTGGTACGCGACACTCGAAGCTGGCGGTCGACTGGATTTGGGCGATCAATTCAATTCACGCTTTGACGAGGATACAAGAACAGCTGGACGAAGAGGAAG